TTTCCGACTTATTTTTCCATGCAGAAAAACCCTCCGCTCGTTTGTACCATCCTTTCGACCGCACCCTCCATAAATATACGTCAGTTTTCTCGAGAACAGTGAACCGAATCGCAAAAATTTCGTTCTAGATCTTGGTTTTATTTTTTTTACTATGAAAAATCACCTTCTTGTCGCATATATCACCGATAAGAGACCGCCGTTTACAATAACATACAGGAGAATCGATCTTGTATCGGGAAAATGCTACGAGCACCGATGGGCGGAGCGAAGAAAACAAGACACGAATGGGCGTGGCATTCGAAACGCCGTAGTGGGGATAGCATAGTGACCTTGAGCTGAATTGCCTATTAATGTTCCAACGCAAACGCAAAAATTGAAGTCGTTAAACGTTGTTCTTTTTTGGGGGAGGGAAGGGGGGGCTGCGTGAAATGCGTACAACAGCAATTTCAGGTGTTCATTAAGCGCACCGCACGGTGTAATATATGATCGTGCGTGCATTAATCAGCGAACCACCGGAGTTAAATGAATCACCGAGAATAGACTCATTAAACGCGTTAACTCGCGCGTGTAGCAGTTCGATTATCTAAGCTCGCTTCCGCCACGCACAGCGTTTCTCTAACATTGAATTCGAAGCCGAGATTGAATGGATCCGATGGAAATCGACGCGATACCCAAGAGCTCTTAGATCAGTCGACTAGATAAACCTTTCCCCGCGTGGATCATTTCGAAACGGCGGATCTGATCGACAATCTACCCTCGATATTCCATTCATAGACTGCAAAGTAAACTGGGCTAGAAAACTAGATCGTTCCTACTAATACCACACAGCTACATAACACGGCCAAGGAGCTACTGTGGTTCCTTCGAAGAATTATCGTCAACTCTAAAATCGTAGAGTTATAACAAATGATTAACAACCGTTTCCTTCAACAACAAAAAAGTAAAACTTAATCCATTAGTAATTTATCCCGAATGAGATTTGGACACGGCGCATTTATCATACACAACGTGATTATCAGAGAGATACGTGTAAGTTTTGTATCTTTTGCATTTTTTATGACGGACAGAAGTAGTAATTTATTTAGACGTAAGTTTATTAGACAGTTAAAGGGTTGATTGAGGATTTAATGAATAGTTGAATGGTTCGATGACCCAGTGAAACTAACGAATGAAACCAACTCGTGAAACAGTTGAAGAACCCGCCTGTCAAATAGAATAACCTTCGGCGTCAGACGTATGTATTGCCTCCGTATTTTCGACAATCGATAAATTCGAAACCAAAGCCTCCAACGCAATTTCGTTATTCTTGATTTTCATCTTGGTTCGACATATGGAATCCACCCTATGTGCAAGTATCCCACAAATATGTGGGGTATTAATAAATACCCTTTATAGAAAAAACAGCCATCGAGACAGACGTCTCGACCGTGGTGTTCCCAGGAACACCGTGAATCGTTAATTAAACGAGGATCTGGTCGTCGGTGGAACGCGTGGTTGCGCAAAAGCGTCGGCAAGCGACACCCACGCGCTGGAAGGTGCCTAATCTAATGCGGGGCAGAGGTGTGTGTACGGGTTCGCACACGTGCGCGTTCCGAAGCGGAGGCTGCGCTTCACGGCTGGTTCGCATCGGTGCCAAGGTTGCGTTCGTGCTGGTGTACGGATTAAACTGAACCAGGCGCGTCGAGTGTTCTCTGGAGTCTTAACGCGCTGCTCTTATATCGGATCTGGAAAGGGTGAGCAATTGGGGAGGAATCAGCTAATATGATGGGGATCCAATTCGTCTTCCTATTTGCAATAAAACGATTCGCGATGAAAATACACTACTGTTGTGAAATTTAGACGCTCCCTCTCTTTTTTGAGATAGAATTCTGAACGGTTTTGAGCACCGATGATTGATGTTAGGGGAAGGAAATAATTAAGAGCTGGAAGAGTTTGACGAAGACACCTGTTACGTCGATTCAACCAGGTGAAGCGCACAACCCTTCTTCCGTGGATACGAAGGCTCCTAAATGGGGTGCATTTAAATCATGGGGGTAATACTGAAAGATATTAACACTGGAACTACCAAAGCAGAGAAAATAACTGTTTAAAACACTCTTATAAATAGACTGTTAAAAATGTAATAAGATAGGGGTCTTAATAAATGTTAATACTATTCACATGTTATTATTAACATGGTCGTGCTTCTAGTAAAAACTTCAAAATTCCTATCCATTTGAATTTTTAGATACTGGTATCGGAAATCGTGAATTTGCATAAACTTCCGCAGTCTATTTATAACGATGATTAAAATTAAATGAAATATCGTTGCCCTCCAATATATTCAAATTACCCCACCTTGGGAAACACTGGTTTAGAGCGTTCGAGCAGACGCGAAATCAAAACAGGAACACAGATAGGGAAGTTCTATCGAGGTAAGGCGTAAGAATCGAATAATCGGAAGAAGCTACACCGATGTTACACCTCGAGGGTAAGAAAACAGCTTGTCCAAGAGTCCCTGAAACTAGCAACTATAGATACAAATGGGATTCCATCTCGACAATCGTGGATTTCCTCGCTCGGATCTACACAAGTGTAATTTCAGAGTGGCAGTGGAGAAAAAAGTGGAGGCACAACGCCTGGAAGAACGCGGGTGACTCTTTGCGTTGCTCGGCAATAGGGGCACGCGATAAGACTCGAAAAGGCTCGTAAATCGTGGACAGGAGAGCGCTGTAGATAACGAAGCGCATTGGCGTGACCTTCCTCGCGGCGGAGCGTTTGCCGGGGCCGCTTTTGAAGCCGCTCGCGACTGATAACGGCCAGCCGCCGGTCGCGTATACACTGCAAGCGCATGCGTGGTGTCCCCCGCTAGAAAATTGCACCATTCAAGTTTCAATAGCCGACCTTCACCCCGTGTGCGCATTGAACAGCGCCGTCGCGAGACCACGTGTGCTTTCCAGCTTGAAAGAGAGAGAGAGAGCAATGAGAATTCCGCGACGAAATCGATCTAATTTCGAAAGCTGATGGGTTATTCTGGATCGAAATATTGTCTACTCGAGAATCTGTTGATCGAACTCGAAAACAAGCTCGACAAACACTGTTGGAGGGTTGAACTGGTTCGACGACGAACCAATATCAATATGACTGAAAGCACAATATCTACCCTATAAGAATCAGAAGAATGTAATATGTCTTAGGTGGCACTTACGAAAATTTTACTGGTACTTGAACAATTTACCGGTGATATGATTTTATACGCTTATAAGTTATTCCGATTTTTTTTCAACAAGTTATGTGTTAGTCTTTATGAAATTCTATGGTAATTTTCATAATTGTCTAAATGAAAGTTTGCAATGATTTTTAATTGAATTTTTCCCCTGTTAAAAATTGCCCGGTACACGTCAGCAAATCAATAAATATTATTTATAATAATCATTTATATGTCATGTAATATACACGAAAAAACAACATGTTTGTTCGGTAATTGTTAAATAATTTTGGAATGAACAGGTTAACATTGTCTTGTACATCGTTTACAACATACACAATCCAAGTTTGTCTAATTCGACGAGTGGACAGCTGCGCACCCTCTCTGGGTTAGAAGGAGGGCTGATTAGTATGCAAGGCAATTGTCCAGAAACTCGATCCTCCAATTATCTCGGCGGCCCGAGCAAAGAAACTGTAGAGCCAAGCATTGTGTTTTGAATTAACACACCCACAAACGAAAACCGGGATTACACAGCGCGGATAGTTCCGAGGGCTGTGAATAGATAAGACGAAGGCGAGCCTTGAAGCACGCCGCTAATTGACTGTCTAGCACCGCTATGCTAATTGTTGTTCGCACGTTTCGGTCTCGTTTCAGGTATCTCGCCACAACGACGGTGGTAGTGGAAATTCACTGCATAAGGCAAGTTCCCCCGGCGATATCGATTTTAATCAGCAAGGACACAACGCACGAAACGGCGGTGGTAATTATGAGGTACGATTGTCGAGCGACACGATTATCGTTTACGCAGAATTTCTTCGTTATCGAGTGGTAACCAACACGCGAACTTCACTGACCATGTTCGGAAACTATCCGAACCGATGCATTCTCTGTATGGAATTTTGTTAATACTTTGATGTCGGATCTTTTCAAAAAGAAAAGCTGAAAGCGTCTGATGTAGTAGTATGTATTTCTTAAACAAGAACTAGAATAGTAAAAAATTGGGAAAAATCGTATTTTATATATGTAAAGTTTGACAAATAAAAGTTAAGTAGAAGTTTCTAAATATTCTTAGACTATCTGAAGCTGTATATTTGCAAACCAAAAACCCTCTCGCTAGGAAAGTGTTAATTACAACAGCGTTTCTAATATTAGACAACCTAGGAAAATATCGTTCGGTCTATCGGTACAACGTGGATAAACATAACTGATAAGAAACGCATTTCAGTTTTGTTTCCCCTTCAAAAAATTGCAAGTTTGACTCACATTGATCACCAATGGGAGGTCATGTAAGTGGCAGTACAACCGGGTAGAGAGGTGAATCTACGTGAAAAAATACAGTCGAAAATATAGAATTATTTTTTCATTTAAAACTTCGTTTTCGAGATAATCGAATTTGAACATCTGCTGGATACGCGCGTGCAACTGAATAGGACTTGGCTAGCGCGTCTGTTCACTGCATTCCGTTTCTACTTACTACCATGACGAATACCACACATTTCAGATTACTTTTCATAGTAGATTTCCTCGAAAACAAAGTCTGAAATGAAAAAATTTCATTGCATACTTTTGACTTATTTTTTCAGGTAGAATCACCTCCTACATGGTTGTACCACCAGTTACGTGACACTCTGTATAATAATTGTTCGGTGACAACATCGAGCCTCGTGTTTCCAACTTCGACCAAAAAAAAAGAATTTCAGATCATACATAAAACACTGTGTATAAATTTATCACGCGATAAGAGTTTGCAGACGCGTGTGTCGAAACGACACGCGACGACTGAACTGTAAAATGTTAATGAAATTGTACATACAGGCGTTCCCGCGCGACCAGTGCTGGGCCTGGGTCCCCTGGATGATGGCGGTGACCGACATCATCGGTTTCTCCTTCTTCATCATCCTGGTGGCCGTCTTGATCTTTCTCGGTTCGCTCGTCACTTTTCACACCACCTTTCGCCGCGGGTACCGTTCTCGTCGACACAAACGGAGAGAAGGGGGGACACGATGTACTTTCAAACGGACCACGATCGACGACACTCTCGTTGCGTCATTTCGAGAATCGGAGGGGATGGGGGAGGAAAAACGACGACTGGCCGTCCTCTCGTAACCCCTAAACCGAGGTACGTTCCTGTGGTCTCTTTTGGTATCGATTTGGTATCGTTCACTGCACTTCTCTTTGGTCGTTAACGTCGATTCTAAATTTCTCTACGAGAGAGGAACACAGGGGTCGAATGCATGAATCGCTACGACAACGTATCGAACCGTCGCACATGAGACTGCCAATTGTAATCATTTCGATGGAATGACAAATTTTAACTCCGAAACAGTTTACGTTTCAACATTCCCAGTCGAAATGGCAATTTCATGTGCGCACCGACCCGATACGAAAAATGACTAAACGTATTTTCGGGACGAAGGTTCGAAAAAGACGAGAAATGTTCACGATCCTCTGAAATTCCCAAGGCTGAGAGATTAAAATTACACCACGGAAACCGAGAGTAAAACCGTCTGAAGAAAGCGAAATTGGAGCAGTTGCACGCGAGATCAAACGAAATTTCGCGAGTAGTATGTGGCTGGCCGTGATATTTCATCGAGTTATAACCCTTTGAACTCCTTTGTGCGAGTGTGGCTTGAAATCAATTTCATTCACAGGTACTCGTACCTCGAGACACACTCGACAATTTTAACACGTTGACTGCCAGCTGCGAGATAACTCGTAGTTGAAATTTAAATACCTCTACAAAATTTTGGCATAAGATTAATATCACAGTATAATTTGAAACAATACAAGCAATCTCTATTAATCAAACGCATATATTTTCAAAGATTTATGACTTAAAAAACGAAGAAGTGTGTCTGGGTACGTACTGCCTTTTCCACTGTGGCAGTCAACGTGTTAAATATGTATTCTATTTCACAAAACATGCAACCATTACACCAGCCAGATAGAATGTTACGCGCGAAACAATGTTTCACCGTGCAAATTCGCGCTAGTGTAGTGCCCAAGGGTGTAAGAAAAACCGCAAGTTTTTCCAGCGATCTCGCGAGACAGAGGCAGAGAAGAAACTGCAAGTAACTGGAATTTCTTGGCGTTGTGTTACGGAGCTGCGACCTTGACCACAGGCGTGTAGGCAGAAAATGCGATTGCCTTGCCTCTGCGCGGCGACTCGTCACGGCGGCAGAGAAACAATGCTTACGTAACCGCGAGCAATTATGCAAAATGCAGCCGCCAGCCTATGCCCCCCCCCCCACGTGCGTGTGTACCACACCACACTCCTCTCCGTGGTGTGTGCATCTCCTATTCTTCTGGCGTGTGGCGAGGTACCGCGTATATCCGCCTGGCGACCGTACGCGATTCCGCTGGTCGACAATGGTTGGTCGACCATATACACCACCAACACGACCGTCAAGTTACGTAAAAGTTGCTTTCTACGGGTTGGCGGCGGGTGGAAGTCTACTTGCGCCTGGGCGTCTCGTCCTTCCACCTGATCGATTCCACGGTCATCGATCATCCGAACCGGATGGACGGGGAGCACCGCACCGTTTCTAATGGCAGTCGACGGTCTTGAGGTTGAAGTTCAAGGTTAATCCCCGAAGAGGCTGCGTCAGAGACCCTGTCTACCCGGGGAAACACGGAATCGATATACAACGGGTGGCTCCGTAACTACGGTCCCGCGACGAATTTCACTTGAGAATCTGGCTCGGAGTTTCACCGGGACGATGTATACAGGGTTTGATTGGTGGTACAACTAGGCAGATTTGGTGATTCTACGTGGAAAAATAAGTCAAAAATATAGAATAATATTTTTTTATTTCAGACTTCGTTTCCTGAGAAAATTGGATTTGATGAGTCATCTTGTAACGCGTGTGTTCCATGTCTCTATGGTTGTAAGTAGAAACAGAGTGCAATGAACAGACGTCCGGTTGGAAAGTCCTATTCTATTGCCTGTTACACTCAACAAATTTTGAAACTCGATTATCTTGAAAATGATGCGTCAAATGAACAAATTTTGTTCTACATTTTCAACTTATTTTCTTCATCTGGAATCACTCCCAGACACGGTCGTACCACCAGTTACCTCAGACCCTGTACACTTTACCCTCGGAAGGCGGACGACGGTTTTAATGTCGTGGACACGTCTGTTTGGACCCTAGTGTATCGTTCTTTCGAAATGCATTTCCGTACAAATATCTTCGTGAATTGGTTTTTTTTTTACTCGGATTGACACAAACGATTATAGAACAAGTTCTTGAAAACTCAAATGGTTCCTAGTGTATGGAACCGCAAAGTGTCACGGAGGAATCTTGTGTGGTAGCGAGCAAATATTTTTGGAAAAATATGTTCGTTCGATGATCATCGGCCTTGCATCGTACTGCCGGCGTGGAAACAAAGGAAAGTTTAACGCTCATGATTTATTTATTCTAAAGCGACTGAACTCGATATGTTATTGTCATCCGCGGTGTGAAAATTAATCGATAACGCGCGCGCCTCACCCGTTATTCACCTCACGTGTTTTGCTCGACGTGTGTAAGCTATTCTCCGACGGCCTCGAGGCTATACACTGCGCACAGCAGCAGCAGGCAGATGCGACTGTAGACTGAATTTGGCAAACTATTAGTGGGACCCTAACACCGCCCTCTGCCTACTTCTCGAACGCATCTTTCTTTCGTTGCAAACTTTCAAAAACTTAACCTCAAATCGTTAATCGTTGTTGCCATCGATTGGTTACTCGTTGTTACTGTTAATTGGTTAACCGTTATTACCATGTTACTTCGTTTCGACCACCTTTCGACAAAAAACGTCAACCTTTTAAAATCTAACCTTAAATCGTTAAACGTTGTACCGTTGATTGGTTACTCGTTATTACCATATTGCTACGTTTCGATCCCATCTCTCGACAAAAAACATCAATCATCTATCGTCGCATCGACTGGTATGACGCCATCTTGACACGCATTAGCCGTTATTAAGAAACGTTTAAAATAATGGAATAAATTTCGCGCACCGTTGCGCTATAGGAAAACCGCAAAGGCAAAAGGGTGAGATTGAACTTGTTTACGAGTCGATGACGACGACGACGTCGATGAAACAGGAACACGCGTCGCGTCGTATGCGCGCGTTCCAAAGCTAACAAAAAAAATTGTTGACCGCTGCAATGGTGCAGCCAGGCGGCGGAGGTTGCGCGGAACCTTGATACTGCGTAGAAGATTCAAGAGTGAGAAGGGTGGACGGCACGAACTGCGCACTTTCGCAGTTAGGGGACGATGATTCACGGATGGCGGGACACACAAACGCAGGAAGAAGAGCCACGTACCCGCGCGCTCTTATAAATATACACACGAAATATTTGTGTGACAACATACGATTTTTATAGAAATAGGGTAAACATCCCAATTATTGTCAGTGTCCCTGATATCGTCATTTTATTTATTTTACTTACTAAAAACGTTACGTATGAAATTTTGGTTACTCAATTGGAACTCGGATTTACATAAGTACAAAGAAATACATGTACTTGTATGTATCTGATATTTAAAAAATAATGTTAAAAAATGAAAGTGCAATTTGAACGTCAAAAACGCGAGTACGTAAGTAGGAAGTGGTAACGAATTTTTATTCTATAGACAGAGTCATAATTGTCACTATTCAACCTATCTCTATTGTACAGAATGAATTGTTGGTGAGGTGACAGTTATAGGGACACTCGGATTGCTCGCAGATTTTAATGAATTATTAATTCATTCTTCATATTTGTTGTATAAAACCATTTTTATTAAAAGGATAAAGAGATTTTATTATGAATAATATTATGTTCATGATTAAATGAAGTTACGCTGCAATCTTAAGGTGGCGGTGATTGGGACATCTACCCTGTGTATACACCGAACGCGAACACTTCGGTAAGATGTTGTATCATCTCCGGTGTGAAACATTCCGATAATATATAAACCGAAGTAAGTCCCATCGCCTCGAGAGACCGTGGTCATAACACGCGAAAAACAGAAGATAAATCACTGTTTGCGTTTGTTTCGTCTCCCGCTGCTAAAAATACGGAATCTCCTCCGGGATGATATAATTCAACGGTTTCTACTCGAAACACGAAAATAATAAGCGCATTCTGATAAACACCGCAACGAAACATGACGGCAATTGGTTCAATCCAATGAGAAACAGTTTCAAAAAAAGTATCGAATTCAGCTGAAAATTCCGTAAAGAAAAATGCTCTTTGCTTTTTCGATCGAAATGGAATTCTGAATATGTTAACAATCACTTTTGTTTCCAACAGACACCCGACACAGAGACTGGTATTTCGGTCGGAATGGCGAGTAGTCTATTTATTTATGAATCGAGCGAAAAAAAGAAATCGTGTTCCTCGCGTTTCACAACACGTCCGTGCGTAGCGGCGTCTTCGAGTACACCTGGCGATATTTTTCACGAAAGCGAACGACGCGACTCACGGAACAGAGAGACGTTGCGTTCGACGCAAAACAGCTTACGGTAACGACAATTCTACACGGTCATGTTGAAAAATACAGATTATTATTTAAAAAAAAAAAAAAAAAAACAAGAACTTCGAGGCTCTCGTTTATCTTAACACTTTGATGTCGGATGACGTTGTAGTACGTCTTTTCAAAACCAAAATCTGAGAGCGGTTGACCTAGTCTTTCATAAATAAAAACAAGTATAGTAAAAAAAATAGGGAATAATCGCTTTTCTTATATGTGAAGTTTGACAAATAAAAGTTAAGTGGTACTTTCTAAATATTTTTCGAACATTTGAAGTTGTATATTTGCAAACACAAAGACCCAGCCGCCAGCAAAATGTTGAAAAGAGTTCGTAGGACACGTGAGAGCCTGGTTGTCTGTAATAGACGTAACGTGCTCGTCGTCACAAGTCACTTTCGCACAAGTCACGTTTCATTACGACACTGTCGATATACATTCCCGCGATCGATAACGCCGGTGGCATCGAACGACAAAATTTTGGCGTCTGCTGTCGGTCATCTGTCACCGCGAAGAATCGCAAAACACTTCTTGACCTTTGAGTATCGGAGATAACTATAATCTATACAAATATACTGTTGAAATTTACCGATCTCGAAGTTAAACTTTCGATTAGTATTCTAATCTCCAAAAAGCAACCTACCGTAATGACCTATCATCGACTACTTTCACACAACCGCGGATACCATAAACTACGATTCACGATTCGACCGCCTGTGATCGTAATCAATGATCACTAATCATAATTCATTACCACTGTTTCATATGTGTATAATACCACACACAACACTTCACTGGTCCATGGGGGGTAGCGCGAGGTAATACGCAAAAGTGACTAGTGCAACGCAATACGCGCCCTAGGAGAGCAACCAACCCGAGTACGTCGATGTTCAATTGAAACCGAAAGAAATGTTAATAAAGCCGAATACAGATAATTCGTATGTCACCTTAGGTGAGACACATTCCACGTCCCGCATAGCACTGTCGATTCTTTTGTCCACGCGTCCAAAACACGACTGGTGACACATTAATTGGGGTGGGGGACCACCAAGTAACCGGTATCCGACCCGTCAATAACGCCACGGGGACACCAAAATACGATTAAAAACAGATCACTTTTTAAAGCCACACCTTCGTAGACCTCTCCACAATATTAATACCGTAAACATACTCTCCGTGACATAACTATAAAACCACCCTGAAATTTTCAATCCTTCTTTTACTTTAACCACAATATAGAAATATTGAAAATTTTAGCGTGGTCTTATAGTTCCGCCACGCAGTGTAAGTCGTCAAGTAAAGTGGCGTTCACGAGTAAACACAACACCGATTGAAATATAGAACTTCTAACTGCCTTCATGGCGTCATTGCCAACCACACGATTACGTCTCTTCCATCGATAACAGGCGTTACAAGCTAAAAAAAGTTTCAACGATCGATTCGAATCACTCGAGATTCCCGGAGCGTCCTGACATTGAACTTCACACTACTAGCCACGCATATACGTTTTTTACGAATCAGGGCGAAGTCGAATTTCCCGCCTCCCTGAAGGGGAAGAAGGGACACACACACACACACACACACCATAACCCGTTCCTTCCCGACATTCGGAATTCCGAAAGCGATCCTTTCGCCGTGGGGCGCGTGAACGGAATACCATTCGAATTTGATCACTGGAGACATAGGCTGTCTCTGTCCTTCTGTCGGTTCGGAAGCAGGCAAACACGAAGAGACGAGCACCAAACAGAGCGTTTCGCGAACGACGCTCCCGGGGCCCCGCGGCGTCCTTACCGGGAAGACGCACCGTTTGCACCTTGCCACACCGACGACGCGTGGAAATTTCCTACGCGATTCCTCCCTAGATATCGGTGCTCTTGGGCACGTGTGTTGCGATACAGTCGACGCTAGAGAAATAGCCGAGCGAACAAACAGAGGCCGTAAAACGTGTGTTTTGATTGTGTGGGGTTAGATGACCGCAAAAAAAAAGGTGGAAGAGGGTGTCTACCTGAGCCTACCTTCTGGTGGATTGTTTTCGGAAATTCGGGAAAATACTAGACACGGGTGGGTCCGCTATGAACTTCAGTAACGTATTCTAGAGGTCACAATGGAAACACAGTCCCTTAACAATAGAAATACTAGCACTGGTGGTATGCTAAATTAAATTGTATAATATAGTAATATACTCAATGTATAGTACAATTTAACGTAATATAACATAAAATGTGTAGTAACTCAGTAGCCAATGTAAATTTCGCCTAAAATAATATTATAATTGCAGTACTTCTAAAATAAGAAACCTGCAATCCGTTATTTTTTTTACAGATTTGATAATTTTACTGTTAAACGAATGACAGAATTGATAAAAAATGATCTTTGACTACGCCTCACTTTTAATAGACTTTCGATTATATCGTAAGTCAAGAACGAGAGCATCTATCGCGTACTGAATCATTACACCATGGCCAATTCACGATTTCTCGTGCATCGTATCGTCAATGGAATGAATGCAACACCGTTCTACGGGTCTCAAGTGACACGGGCAAGCGACACAAGGCTCAAAAATAGTTGTCCACGTTAACACACGCGCACACACCAGCACGCAAGTGCAACAATGATGCAACTGTTTCTGAGTCTAGCGCAGTCCCCAAACTCGTCTCAAAATCGGCCCCCCAAAACGAATCGAGAAAAGTCTATTCGTGAACCACTGACGTCGAACCACCCTTCGAGACTTTATACACACACAGCCCTTGCACACACGAATCCTTTCTCACGATACTCCAATATTCTTCTACCACCGACCGTACACACTTCGTAGAGTCCACACAGAAGGTATAATATCCACGTTTTTCCTCGACGGACGTAATCGCGCACACGTGCCCGGCAACGGCGAAAACACGCGGCCAACCACACACTCTCGACACGATCGAACGTCGCGAATAAATCCTCGATAGACGGGACTTGAACGAAGCCCCCCTGAGGAACCGGGAGAAAGGAAACGAAAGAGAAAGAAAGAAGGGAGAGTAAACGCTGTGGCGATTGGCAGTACCTCTCACTCACGCGCGCGCACGTACACCGTCGGCTCCGACTCACTGACTCAATGACTGACTGACTGAGTGACTGACTGACTGACTGGCTCGGGGGATGCACGGCGCTAAAGGCAACTGAGTGCCAGCCGGCCGGTCCGGCTCGTTGCATGTGAGCGTGCAACCGACTAGGAAGCGAGGTGGGGAAGGGGGAGGAGGAGGAGGAGGAGGAGGAACGGAATCGAATGGTGGGGAGACCCAGAGGACGGGAGGGTGGGTGGGAGGGAGGGAGGGAGGACGACGGAGGATCAAGAGGAGGTGAAGGACGAGGATGAGGCGATGGAGGACGAAAAGCTGGCGGCTGGGTAGCCACGCCGTAGTGGGGGAAAACTCGGGAAAGAGCGTGAGAGAGGCGGACGAGGCCTGACGAGGAACGTTCCATCTCTACTTGCATACACTTTTCCTTCGCAGGAAAATATCGGACCGCTCCGAAATCCGATATCCGATCGATATGGATAAATCTGTGGTTGTCGGAAAAGAACGCCGTAATGTCGCATGGTTTCACTTTCAATTCTTCCTTATTAGCAATGTTTCCGTGTTTTCTTTTTACAATATCAAATATTTCCATCACTTTGTATAATGTTCTTCTGTCCAGCGTGTTGTTCTGGTGTAAAATACAAGTTACAATATCTAGGCATCGTTTGTATGTAATAGTGTGCTATTTCGGGTGCAATACAAATATAGAATATGATTGCAAAATAAGCTGCTGTAGCCAGGAAAAGAAAAAACGATAAGGTAATTCATTGTCTTGGCAAAAAAATTGTCTATAACTTTGAAAATATTAATTTTTCGACAAACATTTATCAGGACCTTTTTCCATCAATTTAAAGAGTACTATCTACCCCGGAAGTTACAAACCCTTTTTTCCTTCCACCCTGTATATGTATAGATCACCGAATCGTCGCCACGAGTGTCGAAGCTCTGCGCTCACGGTACAAAAGGGATCCATCCAAGAGCTTTCCGCTCGATTCAAGGTACTCTCCCGAAACACACGTAACACAGCCGTAGCGGCGGTGTAAGTTATTCATAATCGATAAAAACGTGTGTAATACGCTCGTATATACGATAGAAATGTAACCACACCGCTCGAGGTCTCCGGTGGAGGAGCGGGTTCGGTGCGAAACGCGGGCTCGGCATATCCCGTGGAGAGGATCAAGGGAAGGAGGGAGGGTTGAGCCGCGAGAGGATAGAACAAGAGAGAAAGGATAACGGGGGAGGGGGGGGGAGACAGAATAAGAGCAGAAAGACGACCAACGAACGAAGTAGAAAAAGAGAGGGAGAGAGGAACACGCGGACAGAGCTTGCGCCATCACTGTCGAGCTTAGGAGTCAAGTTCTAGTGCACGGCCGAAATGGGAGAATCGACCTCCCCTCCTCGATCCCCTCCACCAGGCAAACAGCTCGTCCAATGGCGTATGGGTGAGGGAAAGTATCGCATAGGGCAGAGGAGGGAGGAAAAGAAGGGGGTTCGCGATGTCGAGCGTGCGCGCGGGGAAGCTACCACGAGGGGATTCTTCTACCAGGTGACCGAAATATACACCTCTCCGGTATATACACACGGAGCGTGTAACATTGGATCTGATAAGGGGGGAAAATAAGCCGACGGCGGCGGCGCACCAACGGACCAAGATTTACGTCTCGTTAACCGGCGACGCGAGATACTGAATCAGATACGCGCGTCCCGCCAACGATCCCGACGAACGTGCCCCGGTCTGTAGCCAGGAAACAACTTTAATTACGCGGCAATAACTCGAGAAATTATTTTAACCGATGATAATGTTAACATGCTTCGTATTGCTTCTATGTCGTAAGCGCAATGCGGGTTGGATCGACTGGGCAATTCGATCCGGTGGGGTTGCAGAAAATAAAAGTAGCTGTGCAGGGTCTGAATTTAGTACTTTCTCTGATAGACAATTCAATGGTTTAGTGTAATACTGGGATCTAGAAAATAGGGGATAGCTGTGGAGTGTCTAGATTTCAGTATCTTTCATTAAAATATAGAACCCAGAGAAGTAGCCTATGGAAATCACCTAAACATTACAAATCAGTTGTCCAATTAGGTAATGTGTTGTTTGGAAACATTGTGGATGTCGGAGTACAATGCAGAATGTATGGCGAATGTCAAGGAATGGCTCTGATCGAGAAGTCGATGCTATTCCTGGAGTTCGAGGACAGTCAAAATGCAACCGAACAAACGAAACCTGGCGGGTCGTTGATTATAATTAACCATTTAACCGGCCTTTAGCGGGGCATGTGACGCCGCGTATAAATTAAGAGAAGCGGATAGATCGCTGGAGGAGATAGTTGGGGTCGCGAACGATCGTTTCCCTCCTGTGTAATATCGCGTGTCGATAAGGCGCGTGTTTGCGACGCTCTAATACCAGTCACGTTTCAGCAGTTGCACAAACACATACATACACGCGAACGCGCCGGTGCAAACAATCCAATGTCAGTTTTAACGCGAAGAATCGATTCCGATCGTTTCCTCTGCGATCGACCGACAGGACACGACGCGACAATAGATACAGATTCCTGGAAACGATCGAATTAACACTACCAAAGCAGTCATAATGACTGGTTAGTACACTCTAAAATGTTACAATACTGGAATCGTAGATCCATAATCGCGTTCACCAGTCCCGAATCACAGCCAGTAACAGGTGTAATACGTACACCTCTCGAATGGATTCTTGCCACTGGATTTCCGCCTACTTGGAAGGACACATATCCCATTGAGGATAGACCACACCTGTTCCGATACCAGGCGATTCTCGCAACATCCTAGACGCGCGCACCCGGTCGACCTCGGCGGAACGGCTCGGTTTTAAGGAAGTTCATCGGTTTTTTTTTTTGCCCCACGTCCGACCCGTTCGATGCTTTTGGCCCATATGCTGGCACCAGCAACACACAACAGTTCCAGAGAA